TGTGTGTGTGTGTGTGACCAGTGTGTGTGTGTGTTTCTTTTCATTTCTCCCACTCAGCATATATCTTATTGATCTCTTTCTGGTGATGAAGAGGTTTCTCCAGTGTGTGTGTGTGTGTGTGTGTGTGTGTGTGACCAGTGTGTGTGTGTGTGTGTGTGTGTGTGTGACCAGTGTGTGTGTGTGTTTCTTTTCATTTCTCCCACTCAGCATATATCTTAGTGCCTGGATCTGAAGACCTTTGTCTTTCATCGCTTCGGGCAGGTTTGTACTCCTTGTCTCTTTGAATATATTACCTCTTGCTTTTCTCTTCTGCCCTTTCACAGCAGCCATTAAACATGTGCTACACCTTCTCATGTCTCATTCTCTTCAATAGGTGCTTTTTGTCACTGGCATAACTTTTGGGTTGTTTGTTTATTGTACTGGGTGTACACTTGGCCTTAACCAGCCCTTGGCCTTAACCCCATCACTTTATTGCTTTTAGTAATGTTTTTGGGTAGTGTTGAATTTATGCCTGGGCTGGCATGGACTATGATTCTCCTATTTATGCTTCCCCATAGTGAGGATGACAAGTATCTGCCACCATCCTCAGCTTTTAATGATTGAAATAGGAGTCTTTCAAACTTTATGCCTGAGGTGGCCTTATACCTTGATCTTCCCATCTCAGCCCCCCAAGTGGTTAGGATTAAAAGTGCAAGTCATGACCCTGGATTGGATTGACTTTTTCTTAATTATATATTCCATGAAGGTTTTTTTTCCCCCTTAATGGCTCTACTTTTAATTTTTGAAAATACTTTATAGTTCTTTTTTAAAATCTCCCCAAGTATAGGAATAGTCAACTCAGGGGCTGGGAATGTGGCCTAGTGGTAGAGTGCTTGCCTACCATGCATGAAGCCCTGGGTTTGATTCTTCAATATCACATAAACAGAAAAAGCCCGAAGTGGCACTGTGGCTCATGTTGGTAGAATGCTGCCCTTGAGCGAAAAAGAAGCTCACACCCTCAGTTCAAGCCCCAGGACTGGAAAAAAAAAATAAGGATGAGGAATAGTCAATTCATACAAAACTGGCTTTCATTCAGATGAAAAAAATCATCAAGCTTGTCATTAAAACCCTGCAAATGACTGGGGCTGGGAAGGTGGCTCAGTGGTAGAGCTGAGGGACAGCACCCAAGGCCCAGAGTTCAGGCCCCATGACCAGACCAAAAAACAAACAAACCTGCAAATGAAAGCCACACTGAAATACTATTCGTCATTTGTCTGACTGGTAAAATTGTTTAGAACAAGACAGCATATTCTGTTGGTAAAACTGATATGCCCTTCTAGGGAAGCATTCAAAAACTTTGAACAAACTACATTGTGAAAGATGCTACCCAAGTAAATGAAAGATATTTCAATCTCAAAACCAAAACCATGTTATACAACCAAGCAATGCCTCCTCCACAGCTCTGCTCCACAGCTTCTCCTATGACACGAAAGTGCAAATGCATTTTATACATCTACCTGCATTTTTTGAAGTGTCTAATTTCACACATTAATGACAAATTACTTTTAAAGTATTGTATGATCTTTGATCATCCTGTAAACTTTAGCTCTGCTGGGCCGTGCATGGGATGAGCCATTTCTCTGAGTTCTGTAACTCTGACTTTGATCTCATCTTCAGTGAAGTTTGTTTGTGGAATTTTTTGCAAATGTGGAAGAAGCTCTGAATTTGCTTGTTCCAAACACTGCAGGGATTTTTTTTGAGGGGGGGAGGTCCAGTCGTGGGGCCTGAACTCTGGGCCTGGGTGCTGTCCCTCAGCTCTTCAGCTCAAGGCTAGCGCTCTACCACTGAGCCACAAAGCCACTTCCGGCTTTTTTCTTTTTGCTTATGTGGTGCTGAGGAATCGAACCCAGGGCCTCATGCATGCAAGGCAAGCGCTCTACTACTGAGCCACCTTTCCAGCCTATCACTGCAGGTATTTTTATGAGCCTAGGTCCTTCTACTCTCTTATTAACTGCTCATTCTAGGACTTTCAGACCATCCATGAATAAACTAGGGCCTTCACCCATACAGAGACAAAGAGAGCAGGTCTCTGATTACAGGTGCTGAGAATGAACTGTCTTTGTTTTTTCTGACTCAGAGCTCAGGCCAAACAAGATAAATATGCTTCCTCCAATCTCCTCACCAGCTGCTGTGCACTCAAGACCAGCTTCTGCACACAAAACTCTGTGTGCTGTCTAAGCTTTATTTATGGCCCCTATAAATTGCCCTTTTGTCCTCAATAGTTCATCTATGCATCTAATAAAATACAGATTCTGTTTCATCCAGAACTTCTAAGTATTTGTGGCAATAGATGTTCAGTTCTTAGTCTAGTTTTAGTCAGAAATGAAGTAAGTTACCTGTCTGGTTATGTTGAGAATGAATTGGAATTTGTATATGGAGGAAGAATTGAAGCAAGGCCTTCATACATGCCAGACATATGCTTGACCACCAGGCTTCAGCCTCTGCCAACTTCAAACTGAATGTGAATAGTGGATACGTTCATGGCAATGGTGTTTTTACCCCATAGACATCCGTGAGATTTGAGCCAAGCGACATGCAGTTTTCCACAAAGAAGATGGATGATCGAGGTTCTTCTACTGAAAACACAGTAAGAATCCAGCCCTTGCCCAAATCCCTTCAGTAATTTTGTCTATGATTGCCTTTTCCCAGATGGCTCAGATCTTCCTAAATAGATTATGTTTGTGGTTGATTAAAGTACACCAGGGCTTAGTCTTTCAGGCCTAAAACTGGTCCTCACTGCTGCCAGCCCGCCAGTACTGTGAATGGAAAGCCTCCTGTTGCAGTTGGTAAAATACTAGGGGTCCCTTGCAGGGCAGAAGTCATGAATTCTACATTTTTAAGTTTTTACTCTATACATGGTAGTGAACACATCACTAAGAGTTGTGGATTTTCTTTCTTTAATCCTTAAAGCATTTTTTTTCCTCCCACATAACATCCCAAAATTCAGATGTTTTCCATAATCATCACGAATGCATTTCAGGAAGTAATGTTGCCTTATTTTCTAAAAAGCTGTTTTTAGGTTGATTGCACTTTGCAGTTGATAGTATCTTAGGATGAAGAAAACATATTAAGTATCCTTCTTAAGGAGACCAAATAAGTAATATACTCTTTTCCCTCCATAATACAGAGACAGCTTCTGCTGAAAATTGTCACTAGATGCTAATATGGAGATGCAATTTAGCCACACTGACCCTAGGAGAAGAGCCAGTGATGGTATTAAAGCTTATAAAAGCTTATCCACAAGGATATAGACCTATAATCCTGAGTGGCTGGAAGGCAGGGTGCCCGCTTAGATAGAGGAATCTAGATTCCAAACATGAATTCAGTTACAGTGAAACTGCATCCGAGTCGCATTCCCATGTAGCCCAGTTTAACAAGAATTCCACAAAGTGATTTTTAATATATTTCAAAAGGATACACTGAAGATTTGTAAAGCCAGTGATCCTTGTCCAGAGTGTACATCTGCTGATGCTTTTTTTTTTATGTCAGTCACATTATCTTGCTGATTATAGCATGTGGCCGTATCGATGCTGGTCTTATTGTTTTCATAAATGAGCTTCAGCTGTTTGGATTTGCTTGTTAAATCTCTTCGTGAAATACTAAGTAATTCATTTCCCAATCTTCTAATCTTTTCTGGCAGATAAGTGTGGTGATTGGCAAGAGAAATTTGTTTCTTTATTATCTGAATGAGCCAGATACCCCAGTGGATGTGGAATTTCAGCAGCGGTACGGCAACATTGTCTGCTATAGTTGGTATGTACAGCAGGCCTCCCTGTGCTATTACTAGCTCTATTGTAAGTTTACTCTGCTGATATTCAGTTCTCAAATACAGCATTCTCTGAGTTACAGTCTGATATTTAGTATATAAAGCAACCTGGCATATTGTCTGATACAGTCCTTGAGAAATTTTAATACTCTGTAATTCCCTCATTCTAAGGTTTTTGCTGATTTACCATATTACCAATTTTACCATATCATTGCCCTCGTTAACTCAGGTATGGGGACGGCTACATCCTCATTGGATTTTCACGTGGGAATCTTGTGGTAATTTCGACTCATATTCGAGAAATTGGGCAGGAGATATTCCAGACGCGCGACTATAAAGACAGTCTAACCAGTATTGCCTTATCGCAGAGTCTGAACAAAGCAGCTACATGTGGCGATAACTGGTAAGTCACAGCTACTCAGCCAGCTTTGCCTGGGGAGAACCAGGAGAAACCAGCAAGACTCCAGTGCTCATAGGAATCTGATACTCCTTCTTTCTTGGACTTTTAGAACAGATATGCGGAGAAATCTTCCTTCCTTCCTTCCTTCCTTCCGTCCTTCCTTCCTTCCTTCCTTCCTTCCTTCCTCCCTTCCTCCCTTCCTTCCTTCCTTCCTTCCTTCCTTGCTTTCACTGGCACTGGGGCTTCAACACAGATTTTCACACCTCGATCAACTTTTTCACCCATTGCTGACACTCTACCACTTGAGCCACACCACTACTTCTGGCTTTATTTTTTTTTTGCTGGTTAATTGCAAATGAGAGTCTCAGACTTTTCTGCCTGGGTTGGCTTTGAGCCAAGCATTCCAGATCCCAGCTTCCTAAGTAGCAAGGGATTTTAGGAATAAGCCTGGGATTAAAAGTGTGTCATCAGCCGGGCGTTGGTGGCTCACACCTGTAATCCTAGCTACTCAGGAGGCTGAGATCTGAGGATCGCAGTTCAAAGCCAGCCCCGGCAGGAGAGACCGTGAGACTCCTATCTCCAATAAACCAGCAGAAAACCGGAAGTGGCGCTGTAGCTCAAGTGGTAGAGCGTTCGCCTTGAGCTGAAGAGCTGAGGGACAGCGCCCAGGCCCAGAGTTCAAGTCCCACGACCGACAAAAAAAAAAAAAAAGTGTGTCATCATGCCTGGCTAGAAACTTTAACACTTTTAACCCAATAAATGGTCCTGTATATCAGGGAGACCATTGACCTAGTCCATAATTTACAGTTGTGTGTGTGTGTGCGCACACGCATGCACACATATGAAGTCAGATACACCCAAAGAAGAATTTAGGAATTTTAGAAATTTTCTTTGTAGTCAGACATTGCTGGCTTATGGATGATTCACGTGTATTTAAACGATACCTTATTATTTTATTTTTCAGTGTTAAAATCCATGACTTAACTGAGTTAAAAGACATGTATGCCATCATCAACCTGGATGATGAAAATAAAGGTATGATTTTACTAGAAGAAAGATAGCTGACTGTCATGATTTTAACTAGAGAGGGTCACATTGTATTTGTTACCTTGGGATTTCATTCCTTGTGGGAGGAATGAAATTAACTTCTTTTACTAGACTCTCTGAAATCTTTATTGTAGTAATTATGTCAAAGTGTACTACCTGACAGGAAGGAAGGAATACCCTCTGATCTAGAGATTTCCAGTGAATTTTTCTCTTGACCCAGGTATAAAATGAAGACATTACTTTCCCTTTGAGCTAAATCAGGTGAGACAAGGCTCATATTCTTCAGCCAACTCATGGGGAATTCCTTAATTTCCATAAAGACTAAGTTAGCAAATACTTGATTTATAAGTCTCTGGTAGTCTACAAGGGAATATTTGCTTTGTTTACTATACCATGCTTTTGTTTGTGCACGATCATTCATTTGCGAATGCTTTCAGGCCTGGGAACCTTGTCGTGGACAGATGACGGGCAGTTGCTGGCACTCTCTACTCAAATGGGCTCGCTGCACGTTTTCCTGACAAAGCTGCCCATTCTCGGGGACTCCTGCCAGACAAGGATCGCGTATCTCACCTCCCTCCTGGAGGTCACCGTGGCCAACCTCGTTGAAGGAGTAGGAAAATGGTGTTCTTTTTCTTTTCTTGTTTTAATTAAATCAAAACCAAGTTAGTGATTGATGCACTAATGATTCCTTCTCTGTATTACAGGAGCAACCAATTGTAATCTCTGTGGATGTGGAACCCAACTTCGTGGCCGTGGGTCTTTATCATCTGGCTGTAGGCATGAATAATCGAGCTTGGTTTTATTCCTTAGGGGATAATGGCAAGTCTAAGTCCACTGATTGTATTGTTATCTGTCATATAAGCTCTGCTGTGCTTCTTTTTTGGGAAATGCTAAAAGTTGTGTGTGGGGATGTGGGGGGGGGGGTAATACACGCTAGTTCTGGGACTTGAATTCAAGGGCCTTGTATTTTTTGTTTGTTTTTTTACTGATTCTAGGGATAGAACTCAGGGCCTGGGTGCTATTCCTGAGCCTTTTTTCTCAAGACTAATTCCTAGCTCTCTACACTTGAGCCACAGCTTTACTTCCAGCTCTTTGGTGGTTAGTCTAACCTTTGGGGGTTAGAGTCTCACAGACTTTCCTGCCCAGACTGGCTTCAAACGTCAACCTCCTAGCTAGCCAGGATTACAGGCATGAGCCACAATCCCCTAGCTGAGCCTTGCACTCCGCTTAGCTTTTACACTCAAGGCTGTTCTACCATCGAGCCATACTTTCACTTCCGCTATATGCTGGTATGGATGGAATCTTACCGATTTTTCTGCCCAGGTTAGTCTCAAGTCACAATCCTCAGAGGTTGACTTCCTGAGGAGCTAGGATTATAGATTTAAGCCACTGGTTCCTGGCTGGAAGGTTCTTTTATAAGACCACGTGTTCATTTTTATTCAGACATCTTTTTTTCCTCGCTTAGTGGCTTTGTGAACCCTCAACAGTTCTGAATAATTTGAAAAGATTTTAATCTTTCCCTTTATAATGAAGGCAGCTGGTGTAAGTGGGCGGAGTCTGAGCTTTGGAATTGGAGGGGCCCTGGGTTGTTTCCCCTGTCTGTGAGCTAAGTGACTATAGCCTGCTTTCTTTGGCCCTATGAGCTTGCTTTAATCATCTGGAAAATGAGGCCGATTTGGTTAAATAAAATGTGCTTTCATGTCGCCAAGAGCTCTGCCCTTCGGAAATATTACTACAAGCAGCGCAGGGACGCTGCCTGTGCTGCTCCCCCTTCCTTTCCCCCCAACTTCTTTCCTCTCCTTCCTCCTCTACCCCCCGCCCCATTTTCCTTCTTTCCAATTTCTTCTTCCTCTCTCCCATCCCCCAACTCTAGTCAGATGACCCTCAGACAGAAGAAGCTGAGAAGTAGGCTGTTAAGTAGACCACGGGTGAAGCTTCATCTCAGTTAAAAGCTGGTTTTGTACGTGACCTTATTTTCTCTTCTCTTGATTTGTGCAAACCATTATGGAATTCCTGAAGGTAAATTTTTAGAGCCACTAACAGTTTTTTTTTTTTAAGAATGGCTAAAGATTTTAAGCCCACAGACCCTTGTGAAGGACCTGCACATTATAGTTATTTGCCATTATTTAGTTGAGCTAGTTTTGCTTATATTTTGATATGTCTAACTTTTGAAATTGCTACAGGTGTAAGAAAGTTAAAAGATATGGAGTATCTGGGCACGGTGGCCAGTGTGTGCCTTCACAGTGACTATGCAGCTGCGCTCTTTGAAGGCAAAGTCCAGTTACACTTGGTAAGTCTGATCCTAGCGTCCTGGGACCTGCAGTTCCACGATGCTGGTTGCCCCCTGTTTCCTAGCAAGAAACTAGGTCAGGGAGCAAGTGTGTACACACTAACCCGAAAGCCCCGTGTGGGGACAGGAGAAGCAAAAGTCACGCCCTTCTGTCTGAGGTATTCCCTAAACAGCTGATAGGAAGAAGCCATGCTATTTGTAACAATTATTATAAAAGTATTTCAGTTGTTTCACTGGATCTTTTCTTCATCGTTTTTGGCCAGTCCTGGGGCTTGAACTCAAGTCCTAAGCACTGTCCTTGAGCTTTTGTGCTCAAGGCAAGCACTTAACCCCTTGAATCACAGCTTCACTTCTGGCAATTGGAGATGAGAATCTCACCAACTTTCCTGCCCAAGCTGGCATTGAACAACAGTCCTCAGATCTCAGCTTTTCAAGTAGCTAGGATTATGGGTATAAGACATCAGCACCAGTGCTGAATCTTTTTTTTTTTTTTTGCCAGTCCTTGAACTCAGGGCCTAGCCACTGTTCCTGTTCTACTTTGTGCTCAAGGCTAGCATTGTACCACTTGAGCCACATTGCCACTTCCAGCTTTTTCTGAGTGTAAGACTCTGGCAGACTTTGCTGCCCGAGCTGGCTTTAGAACCACCATCCCTAGATCTCAGCCTCCTGAGTAGCTAGGATTACAGTCGTGAGCCACTAGTGCCCAGCACTGAATCTTTTTTTTTTTTTTTTTTGGTCCAGTCGTGGGGCCTGAACTCTGGGCCTGGGTGCTGTCCCTCAGCTCTTCAGCTCAAGGCTAGCGCTCTACCACTTTAAGCCACAATGCCACTTCCGGCTTTTTTCTTTTTGCTTATGTGGTGCTGAGGAATCGAACCCAGGGCCTCAGGCATGCAAGGCAAGTGCTCTACCACTGAGCCACCAGCCCCCAGCACTGAATCTTTTTTTTTAATTTTTACTGGTACTGGGAATTAAGCCCAGGACCACATGTTTGCAAGGCAAATGTTCTACCACCTGAACCAAGTCTCCAGCCCAATAAATGCATCTTGAAGGAGCTACAAAAGAGCCTTAAGACTTCCATAAATACCATACCTTCTGGTCTCCCTAGAATTCACTGACTCTTGTATTTAGGCATGTCAAATGTGGAGACCCTCAAAACTGTACCTATGCAGATGTTCACGAGACATTGGCACCTGTGACGATAGGCCTTCTGAAGTTTAGAGCATCGCTCATATCTGTTGCTTCACTTTGTACTGTGCGAAGCCAAAGAGCTTAGCAACTATTCAAATCCTACTGCAAAGACTTCCCCCTAGGGAAGAAGGAACACTGCCCACCAGCTTGCTTCCTGCCCAATATTTTTCTGACTAAGCAAGCCTTCAGTAGTCTCAAGAATCTGAATGTATAGTTGAACTTGAGAAAGGGAGATTCTCCTCCAGAGGTACACTGAGTTTACTTAAATGTTTGGACCATTGTTCTTTATCTTGTAGATAGAAACTGAAATCCTGAACACCCAAGAAGAGCGCGAGACTCGGCTCTTCCCAGCAGTGGACGACAAGTGTCGTATTTTGTGTCATGCCTTAACGGGGGATTTCCTCATCTATGGGACAGATGTACGTATTATCTATGGGACAGATGTACGTGTTATCTTCTTTAATATAGGATGCAGGCAACTTCTCATATTTTACTTTGTCATCTCACTCAAATTTCTGTATTATATGTTTTGATTTTGGTTTGTACAAGCTCATTACTAATATATAGTATATAATTTGTTGGGGGTTTTTTAAAATCGGGACTTCACACTTCATTTAGCTTGCCCAGCTGGTGCTCTAAAACTTGAGCCACACCTCCAGCCCTGCATTTTGCTGGTTATTTTGGAGATGAAATCTCATGGACACTTCTGTGAGGGCTAGCCTCAAACTACAATCCTCTAGATCTCAGCCTCCTGAATAGTTAAGGATTATAGGCATGAACCAAGAGAGCGTATTGTTTGTCTTGTTTATTTTTGTCTGAAAACTGATTTTCTAATTTCCTTATTAGTAGTATAAAAGATGTGAAATTGGACTGGGAAGGTGGCTCAGTGGTAGAGTGCTTGCCTTGTATGCATGAGGCCCTGGGTTCCATTCCTCAGCACCACATAAGCAGAAAAAAAAAAGCCAGAAGTGGCACTGTGGCTCAAGTGGTAGAGTGCTAGCTTTGAGCTGAAGAGCTGAGAGACAGCACCCAGGCCCAGAGCTCAGGCCCCATGACCGCCCCCCCCCCAAAAAAAAGATGTGAAATTATTGTATTTGACAGTTTCTCTTTAAAAAGGTATTTCTGCCAGGTGCCAGTAGCTCACGCTTGTAATCCTAGCTATACAGGAGGCTGAGATCTGAGGATCACGGTTCAAAGCCAGCCTGGACAAGAAAGTTCGTGAGACTTTATCTCCTATAAACTACCAGAAAACTGGAAGTGGTACTGTGGCTCAACTGATAAAGCGCTAGCCTTAAGCTGAAGAGCTGAGGGACAGAGCCTAGGCCCAGAGTTCAAGCCCCACGACTGATAAAAAATAAATAAATAAAATAAAATAAAAAGGTATTTCTGCCAGGCATCAGTGACTCACGCCCGTAATCCTAGCTACTCAGGAGGCTGAGATCTGAGGATTGTGGTTCAAAGACAGCCCAGGCAGGAAAGTCCACCAGAAAACTGGAAGTGGCACTGTGGCTCAACTGGTAGAGTGCTCACCTTGAGCTGAAGAGCTGAGTGACAGTGCCTAGGCCCAGAGTTCAAGCCCCATGACTGACAAAAAGGTATTTCTTGAAAATAGGAAATCAGTAAGTTATAATTTCCTATGCTTAAAATTACTAGATATGGGCTAGGAAGGTGGCTCAGTGGTAGAGCACTTGCCTTGCATGCCTGAGGCCCCGGGTTCAATTCCTCAGCACCACATAAGCAAAAAGAAAAAAGCCAGAAGTGGCGCTGTGGCTCAGGTGGTAGAGCGCTAGCCTTGAGCTGAAGAGCTGAGGGACAGCGCCCAGGCCCAGAGTTCAGGCCCCATGACCGAACCCAAAAAAAAAAAAGAAAAGAAAGAAAAATTTGTACTAGATATAGCCAGGTACCACAGTAGCTCATATCTGTAATTCTAGCTAACTCAGGAGGCTAAGATCTGAGGATCACAGTTCGAAACCAGCCCAGACAGGAAAGTCTATGAGACTCTTGTCTCCAGTTAAATCACAGAAAAAGCCAAAAGTGGCGTTGTTGCTCAAGTGGTAGAGCGCTAGCCTTGCGCAAAAGGAGCTCAGGGACACCAGGCCCAGAGTTGAAGCCTCAGGACTGAGGGATAAAAAGTACTAGAAGTTCTAGCCCATTGAATTACCTCTACAATCCCATTTCATTTCTTCCCTTGGGCCGGATCTTTCATATATACTAGATATGATTCTTATATCGTGCCATCATCAAATATATTGACATTTTTATCTTAAAATTAGGAAATGTGTTTAAATGCTGAAAATATCAGTGTTTTCTTGAGCGTATCTTACATTTCTGTGACTAGGTTCATTTTTATTTTTAGACTGGGGTTATTCAGTACTTCTTCATAGAAGACTGGCAGTTCGTTAGTGAATACCGACATCCTGTCAGCGTGAAAAAGATTTTTCCTGACCCAGATGGGACCAGATTGGTTTTCATTGATGAAAAAAGTGATGGATTTGTCTACTGTCCAGTAAGTCTGGAAAATTTCAAAATGCTTAGTTCTCAAATGTGATTAAAAAAGGTATTTTTTGAAGTATTTTCTCCAACACAGTACCAGGATCCTAGTCTTGTGATACCATGTTTGTGAACAAGGTTAAGACAACTTTCTGCCTTTGTTCTAGTTTTCATGGTATCAGTCCCAGAGAGCTATTTCTTGGAGATAAGGTCTTGCTATGTAGCCCAGGCTAGTCTCCAACTCACGATCCTCCTGTCTTTAGCCTTCTGAGTGCTTGGATTATAGACATACAGCATCGTGCACAGCTCCAAAGAAGCTATTTAAAAGTATTTTACATTCTGTGTTACTTTTAACCTTTCATACCCTGCACCCTATCGTTTTAATATATATTACTTTCGTCCCCAGATTCACCAGAGACTTCTTCAGAAATCAGGGGGCACACCTTGTCCTTTCTGCCCACCTCTGTTTGCTCTCCTCCTTCCTTAAAGATCTTGAGGCCGGAGTGCTGTGGTCATAGCTACTCAGGATGCAAAGATAGGAGGATCAAGGTCTGAGACCAGCCTAGGCTAAGTTACTTGGTGCCCCTACCTAACAAGACAAAGTAAGAGAGCTGAGGATGTGGCTCCACTGGTAGAATGCAAGGCCCTGAGCACGTCTCCAGTTCTGCAAAAACAAAACAAAAACTGGAAAAGGAGGGAATGTTTTTTCCATCAAATGATTAAAAGCAGATGGGCCCATCCTTAATAGCCCAACGTATAAACATTGGCTTCCATATCACTTACCACACTTGGGTGTTAACTTTCCTCTTGTCACCCAGTTGATGGCTTAACTTGGACATCATTCATTCATTCAGCCCGCAGCTGCTCTGAACCCTGTGCTTGGCAGCTGGCTCCAGGGCTCTGGGTTTGTCTTCATGTTCACTCAAATGGAAACAGCACTTTTGTCTCCTCTTGCCTCCTGCTTCCTCCCTGCTCCCTGCCCCCTTTGGCTTCTTTTCTCTCCTCTTTATTTTTTTTCTTTCTCTGAAAAACATAAGTATCTTCACTGCGTATGCCTAATTCCCGTTCTGCTAGTTGGCTGTGGTTTTTGTTTTTTTTCCGGTACTGAGATTTGAACTCGGAGCCTTGAACTTGTCAGGAGGTGCTCTACCACATAAGTGGCTCTCCCAGCCATTTGTTGTTGTTGTTTTTTTTTGGGGGGGGTTGTGTTGTTGGGGGGTTTGTTGTAATTGTTGTTGTTCGTTTTGTTTTGTTCTTTGCTTTTTTGCTTAAGGTTGGTACTCTATCACTTGTGCCACGCCTATACTTCTTGGCTTTTCACTGGTTATTTGGAGCTAAGAGTTTCACAGCCTTTTTCTGCTCAGGCTAGCCTTGAACCATGATCCTCAGATCACAACCTTCTGAGTAACTAGGATCATAGACGTGAGCCACTGGCATCTAACTTTACCTTTTTATTCTTAGCCTGCAGTCATTGTGTCTGGACTTGTAGTTTGTCCTCAAATTCATCAGATTTTAGACCAAATAGCTACAGTTTTGTGGGTTTTTTTCCCACCTAGGTGTAGTATAGAACTTGGAGAGCAGCCGCAGCAGTGGGGGCAGAGGCCGCGCGGCCGGCACTGCAGCCCGGCGCCCGTAGGTAAGGACGTGCAGGTGTGAGGCGACGCTGTCCATCCTGTTTTGTAGATTAATGATGCCACCTACGAGATTCCAGACCTCTCGCCTACCATTAAAGGTGTTCTGTGGGAAAACTGGCCAATGAATAAAGGTGTATTTCTTGCTTACGATGATGATAAGGCCTACACTTACGTCTTTCACAAGGACACTATACAAGGTACTGAATCATTTCCATTTGTACATTTGTTGATAAGTAAATTCTCATCGCAATGAAGTGAAAGCCCACCCTGCTGATTATCTGTGCCGAGCATTTGCTGTCTGTTTTATAATCCAGGATCCAAGGTTATTTTGGCTGGTGGCACCAAGGTTCCCTTCTCTCATAAACCTTTGCTGTTATACAATGGCGAGCTGACCTGCCAGACACAGAGCGGGAAGCTGAACAACATCTACCTCAGCACCCACACTTTCCTCTACAACCTCAAAGACTTGCATCCCACTGACCTGAGGCAAATGTTGTCACAGACCCTCATGCTCAAGAGGTAAGGGCGCAGACTGCTCCTGGAGCTTTTGGTTTGCATTTGTAACTTTCAAGTTCAATACGATTGGCTAAATGTGGATCCCACTTGCTTCATTCATTTCCCTGGGCCACTAGGAAGCGCAGTTAAGACGAGGGGGCGGGGCGGTGTGGTAATGGAAATGCATGTACATGCTCAAGGCAGTCCTGTTGCTTGGTGTGATGATATGGGTGCTGTATCACAGATAAGCCTTCAGAACAAAGAGCCACCTGCTATAAAATGCCAGTAAACTCTATTTGAACAAGGTCTTGAGTTCATTTTTGCATTGCTTCAGATTTTTTCTCACATTTTATTTTTCTCTTACTAAATAGGGCCACTGTGAATTCTAATTCTTTTGACAATCTGTCTCTGTCTCTGTCTCAGTCTCTGTCTCTCTCTCTCTCTCTGTCTCTCTCTCTCTCTGCCTCTCTCTCTCTGCCTCTCTCTCTTCCTCTCTCTTTTATGCCAGTACCGAGGCTTGCACTCAGGGCCTGAGTACTGTTCCTTAGCTTTTTTGCTCAAGGCTAGCAGGCTACCATTTTAGCCACAGCTCCACTTCTGGCTTTGTTAGTGGTTGACTGGAGGTAAGAGTCTCACAGACTTTTCTCCCTAGGCTGGTTCAAATCCCAGTCCTCAGATCTTAGTCACGTAAGTAGCTAGGATGACAGGTGTGAGCCGCCAGCGCCTGCTGACCATCTCTTAAATGGCACTGCTCCTCAGGACCCCATGAGCTCCCTCTCCTCTTCCCATTCGGATGCTTGAATGCCTCTTTCCATGGCTCTTCTGGAATGCCTGCCCATGGTGACTCCCCAGGCCTCAGCAGCCCTCCTCTAGGAAGCTCCCCCTGACTCTCCCACCAGCAGTCCTGGTTGGAGTCTCCCGGCCTCCAGCCAGGGTGAATACCACTTACTTTGCTGTGGCTTGAGCTAACCTCATGTCCTCATCTACTAAGGAAAACCAACGATACTCAGTCAAGAAGGTTGTTAGGGTAAGCTATTGAGAACATTTATGCAAAACACACACCCATAGCACAAAGATCCACACGTGATTCCTCAATTACCTCCACCACATGTGTGAACATAGTCATTGTTCACACCCCAACAACAACTGCCCCAAGGACAGTGACTGGGTAATATGCCTGGATTGTAAACACATTTCTGCACACCAGCACTTAGCACTTAAGTACACAGTGAGTGAGAGTTATAGAAAACTCAGGTGAGTGTGTAGACAACTGATGAGTGGATAAGTAGATGGGATAGGCAGTTGATGCAGAGGGTCTGGGGAGAGTGAAATCTGCATTTTCATGATGTTTTAAAGCAGAAGTCAACAAATCCTTCCTGCTATTGGCCAAATGGCAAATATTTCAGGGTTTCTGGGCCATTGGGTTTTGTGTCACAGGTCCTCAAGTAGGGTACTGAGTCACAAAAACATCCAGAAACAGCCTGTACATGATCTTCTAATCAGATTTTATTTACAAAAAATTCATGGATTTATCCTGTCATGAAGAAAGTTTGGGGTTTTTTAATTGCTTTTATTACTTGCAAGTGACAATTAATATTTATGGCACTGTATTAGCACTTCATATTCCACAGTATGCAGTGTGAATGTTGCCTGTCCGTGATCAGGATTGCTGTGGAGCTAAGCCTGTTACTCCATCCCAGGTTTTCCGACGCTTGGGAAATATGCAAGATCCTGATGGACCCGGATGCGTGGAGGGAGCTGGCCAGAGCTTGTCTACACCACATGGAAGTGGACTTCGCAATCCGTGTGTATCGGACGATTGGGGATGTTGGAATAGTGATGTCCTTGGAACAAATAAAGGTACCCAGCCCTGTGGGCGAATGGGCAGAGTTAGATTTCAATGTGGATCTACAAGCCGGATGCCGGCGGCTCACGCCTGTCATCCTAGCTACTCAGGAGGCTGAGAGTTGAGGATCGCGGTTCAAAGCCAGCCTGGGCAGGAAAGTCCGTGAGACTCTTATCTCCAATAAACCACTAGAAAACTGGAAGTGGCATGTGGCTCTAGCGGTAGAGCCTTGTGGATCTACATGGGTTTGATTACAGAAACTAATAAAATATTCTCTAAATAATGGGGGGGAAAGACTTCAATGTGGAACTGAGCTGGTGACTCACACCTATAATCCTAGCTTCTCAAGAGCCTGAGATCTGAAGATCAAAATTTGACGCCAGTTCAGGCAGAAAAGTCCTTGAGACTTTGACCTGCACTCAGTTATTAAAAAGCTAGAAATGCAACTGTGGCTTCAGTGGTAGAGTCCTAGCCTTGAGCTTTAAGCTAAGAGACAATACCTAGACCCTGAACTCAAGCCCCAGAACTGGCACAAAATAAATAAATAAATAAATATACATGTGGCGGGGGGTGGGTGGGTGTGTGGGGGGGTGTGTATGCAGTCTATTTAGTTTTACATTTTGGCCTAACAGGTGAATAGGTAGAGTGTTATTACTTCCAACTGAGCAAAGTCTTCTGAGAAAATAAAATTCAGCCAGATGCACGTGGCTCATGCCTATAATCCTAGCTACTCAGGAGGTTCACAGTTCAGTACCACCCCAGACAGGAAAGTCTATGAGACTCTGATCTTCAATTAACTACCAAAAACATCAGAAGTAGAGCTGTGGCTCAAATGGTAGAGTGCTAACCTTGAGCCAAAATAAATACATAAATAAATGTCAAGGATAGTACCCGGGCCCTGAGCTCAAGCCCCAGAAAATAAAGAAAATTCAAAAATTCAACACTTGTACTTCTCTCATCTGTTTCTTTCTTTCTTTTTTTTTATTTGTAGGGAATAGAGGACTACAGTCTACTGGCAGGACATCTCGCCATGTTCACCAATGACTTCAACCTGGCTCAGGACCTGTACCTGGCATCCAGCTGTCCCATAGCTGCCCTGGAGGTACGGGCACTTTCCCAGTCACTTGACATATTCAACCCCCCGACCACCTTATGAGATAATACCTTTGTTTTCTCTATTTTCTAGAAGGGAAAACAGGTTCATTTATCTTCTACTTACTGTACGACATTCTCTTTTGTACTCATAGTTAAGAGGGACTAGCCATGCCTCCTTGGGAGAAAAGTAGCCTCTCTGCCTCAGACTGTGGACCACTAAAATGGGTATAAGAAAAGTTCATCACAAAAGGCTAGTTGTGAAAAGTAAAATAAGTGAATATTCTAGCCTAGTACCTGGCAAAGAATAACACTTGGAAAATGTTAGCTCTTATTCTTTTTTTATCTTTTTCTTTTCTTTTTTTGGTACTGGGGATCGAACCCAGGATGTTGCACTTGCTAGGCAAGCGCTTTGCCACTGAGCTACATCCCAGCCCTTATTCTTTTTTTAAAGTCTTATGTATTTTCATATTATCTTTAAAGAGTTATACAATGTTTCAATTCAACATGCAGCAATTATTAATTCTTTATAGTGCAAATAGATGAGGAATGAACTTTTTAAAACATAAGAGAATGTAATGGTTTATATTTGGAACCAGGAAGAAAGGCACTTTAAATTTGATAGATATTGGGGCTGGGAAGGTGGCTCAGTGGTAGAGCACTTGCCTTGCATGCTCGAGACCCTGGGTTCGATTCCCCAGCACCACATAAGAAAAAAGCCGGAAGTGGTGCTGTGGCTCAAGTGGTAGAGTGCTAGCCTTGAGCTGAAGAGCTGAGGGACAGCGCCCAGGCCCAGAGTTCAGGCCCCACAACCGGACCCAAAAAAAAAAAATTTTTTTTGATAGATGTTTTTGGTTATATGTGTTTTACTATAGCTTTAAGTCATCTAAGGAAATACATCAGTTTCTTTTTTTTTTTTTGGGGGGGGGTCCGGTGTGGGACCTGAACTCTGGGCCTGGGTGCTGTCCCTCAGCTCTTCAGCTCAAGGCTAACGCTCTACCACTTGAGACACAGCGCCACTTCCGGCTTTTTTCTTTTTGCTTATGTGGTGCTGAGGAATCGAACCCAGGGCCTCATGCATGCAAGGCTCTACCGCTGAGCCACCTTCCCAGCCCTACATCAGTTTCTGTAATAAAGTGGTTCCCAACTTTATTAATGCCTCACTAAGATGAAACTTAAATTTTAACTGATTACATTCATTTAAATTAATTTCTGCCTACTGAGAAAAATTGTGTACTAAAGAATAAGATTGTGTTAGGTAACGTGGAGTTTGGGGAAGAGCCACAAATCACTTAATGTAGAAGCTACAACTTTCTCCCAGCGTAGGACTCGCTCACATTCATTGAGGCATGCTATGGTGGTATATTATCTTTCTATATAGCAAGGTTGATTACTTAAACAAAGAGTCTTTGTAACTACTTTTATGAAGCCTGGCAGAAAATGGTGACTTTTCAGAGTAGTGAGCTCTTTTGAAATAAAGGTTTTTCCCTTCTTAACAGATGAGAAGGGACTTACAGCATTGGGACAGTGCCCTGCAACTGGCCAAACGCCTGGCCCCAGACCAAATACCATTCATATCCAAAGAATACGCCATTCAGCTGGAATTCACGTAAGTCCTCATCTCCATACATTTTAACTGTAGTGTATGCTGCGCATCTTCAGTTATAAACTGCCATGGACTATGAGGCCATCCCTTGACTTAATAAAAAGCCTTTCAGAGAATAGAATCCTTACTAATTGTATATCTGAAAATGTTTCATCCACGCCAGGCACTGTTGGCTCAAGGCAATAATCCTAGCTACTCAGGAGGCTAAGATCTGAGGATCATGTTTTGAAGCCAGCCTAGGCAGGAAAGTCTGTAAGACTCGTATCTCCAATAAACTATGAAAAAGCCAAAAATGGCGCTGTGACTGAAGTGGGAGAACTCTAGTCTTGCGCACAAAGAGGCTCAGGGACAGCACCCAGGAAAGCCTGCTCAAGTTTAAGCCCCACGACCGACAAAACATGTTTCCTCTATACATTTGCCCACTTCTGTCTGCAGCATCAACATCCAAGTTTGGGTCCCCACTTTCAGAGTCTAAATATTGTGGAGAATCTCATGTAGCACAGCAGCTACATGAGTCAGTGTCTCATGAGGGTGACATCCTGTCAGAACCTAACACTTGGAGGACTTGTTGAGTAAGTTTGGTCTGTCTCTCAGTCCATCGAGGCTACTGTAACAGAACACCCACCTGAGGCAGAGGTATTTACAAAGAGCAGAATTTTATTTCTCATAGTTCTGGGGTTGGTAAATCCAAGATCTGCCTCTTGAGCACACCTTCAGCTCTTTCTGGTGCTGGTTACTTTTGAAAAGGGGTCACACTTCCTGCCTGGCTGTATGCCTAAAGGTGTCCCTGCGGTCTGTGTGCAGCTCCTCTGCCCTGACCCAACAACCTACTCAGGATGAGCTTCCCTGGTGCTAACAGTGGCGATCAGAAGCCCCCGAGGCCTCTCAGTACCACCACTGCTTTCATTAGAAGCTCGTGGCTTTGACTGGGTTGGCAGCAGTGGTCTGCTAAGTCTCAAAGTGGGTTAGCGCTCCAGTCTGAAACTATACCAATGAACTAAAGCCACATAGAGTCCAAAATGAAGTCATATTAAAGTCAGTGAGCTGAAAGTAATATAGAGATAAAATGAGAGTTCCCACTTCCCAGTGTAATGTCTCCTGGCTGAGCAGCCTGGGCCCCACATTAGAAATTTCCACTTTGGAAAATGCTGACTGAAAGAGAAGTTCTCAACCTGCAGAAGCACATCACTTCCAAAAAGGAAAACCTGAGTGAGAAACTCACCTACACGGATGGAGTGGAGCTGAGGGAGACCTGAAAACTGCCATCTTCAGAGCTGGTTAATTAGAGTGGAGGAGATGGTTTCTCAGAGGAAGACAGATCTCAGAAACAAAAGGTCATAAGCAAATCACGACTTAAATCATGAAAATAAATGGACATGAATGTGTCTTCTAAATATGTAATTCGACAGTAGTTTCAGTCAGGGATACAGGAACTCTAATCATTGCCAGGTTCTGGATCTTAAACATACCATAAAGACCACATGGAGAAGACCAACAGTGGCACTGCTGAGAGGGGGTGGGGCTAAAGGAGGTGGAGCCTAGTGGGAGGAGTTAGGTCACTGATGGGAGGGCCTGAAAGGGCTGTGGATCCTGGCTCCTCCCCGTCCCCTCTCTGCAGCTTTGCTCCACAAGGGGCTGCCTGCCATGATGTTCTGTTTTGCCACAGGCCCAAATTGACAGGCTTGAACTCGGGGCCTGGGCGCTGTCCCTGAGCTGCTTTGCTCAAGGCTGGCGCTCTACCACTTGAGCCACAGTACCACTTCCAGTTTTTGAGTGGTTAATTGGAGGTGAGAATCTCACAGGAACTTTTTTTTTTTTTGGTCGATTGTGGGGCCTGAACTCTGGGCCTGGGCGCTGTCCCTCAGCTCTTCAGTCAAGGCTAGTGCTCTACCACTTGAGCCACAGTCCCACTTCTGGCTTTTTCTGCTTATATGATGCTGAGGAATTGAACTCAGGGCCTCCTGCATGCAAAGCAAGCATCTACCACTGAGCTACCTTCCCAGCCCCTCACAGGGACTTTTCTGCCCAGGCTGGCTTCAAACCATGATCTTCAGATCTCAGTCTCCTGAGTAGCTAGGATTCCAGGTGTGAGCCACCGGCAGTCAGCTTCAAGTTTTTGTTTGTTTTTTTTGGGGGGGTAAGTTAATTAATTGAAGGTAAGGGTCCCTTGGGGCTGGCTTTGAACCTCCATCCTCAGATCTCAGCCTGCTGAGTAGCTAAAACTACAGACATTACCTACTGGCATCCAGCTAAGTGTTTGATCCTGTAAATTGATTTTTCTCAGGTATTTTGTCGCAGCGATAGAAAGCTGACAGTGTTATGTCATGTATGGTTCCTTTATAGGACCCTCAGTACTGTGCCTCAATGTCTGCCCGCAGTAAACCGATAACAACCCAGATTGTCTCAGTACACATGCTTAAAATTACTTAGCATCTAGAAGAAATTTATTTTTAGGATAATTTCCTTAACCATTAACCAAAAGTGGCCCATAAAATTTACTGTCATTTGACCCCCAAATGCCTAGCATATCACATAGTAAGTATCTTACCCTGTAGCATAATAAGTTGATTTTTTTGAGGCAGGGCCTCACTTTACAGCCCAGCCCTAGCCTTGAGTTAAATGTGTAGCCCCAGAGAGCCTCCGATCACTATCCTGACTCAGTCTCCCAAATGTGGGGATTACAGGCATGCACCACCACGTCCAGCAGCAGTCAGCTATTTTTAATGTAGCAAAATAATGATGGGTTACACTTGGAAAGAATGCTTGTATGTTGCATATCACTTCTTTTATGAGCTGTAGCAACGCAGTAACAGAGGTTACATTTTAAGTTTTGTATATGTAAATAAAATATTTAAGTATGAATTAAAGCTCACTATGATTTTTCTTTCAGGGGTGATTATGTAAATGCTTTGGCTCATTATGAAAAGGGCATCACGGGTGATAATAAGGTAAAGTAAATGAAGATAAGATATACATAGTTTAAAAAAAAAAGATATACATAGTTTTCATGGGTTTATTTTCAACTTCACAAAAAATTCTGGTCTTTTTGGGTGCCAGTGGTTCATATCTGTAATCCTAGCTACTCAGGAGGCTGAGGTCTGAGGATCATGGTTAGAAGCCAGCCAGGGAAGGAAAGTCTGTGAGACTCTTATCTTCCAGAAAACTGGAACTGGCACTGTGGCTCAAAGTGGTAGAGCACTAGTCTTGTGCTCAGGTACAGTGCCCAGGCTCTGAGTTCAAGCCCCACAGTCAATAACAACAACAAAATCTGGCCTTATTTGCCTTGTATTTATTCAATACATCTGGTTGGTAAACCTAAGTTTTCAGTCAATTAACAACTTTGCAACAATAGGTAATTTAAAACACTTAAAATTCTTGAAACAATGATGACAATATCTTTATCCATCTGAAAACAATGTTTTCCATTGTATCCTAAATATAAATTAAAACTAGGGACAGAATTTGTATCTCTTCCCAAACTCAGGCTAATATAACTCAGTAAGAGAGTAGAGTTAAAAAAAAAAAAAAACTTGAAGCCGGGCACCAGTGACTCACGCCTGTAATCCTAGCTGCTCAGGAGGTTGAGATCTGAGGGTCACAGTTCAAAGCCAGCCCAGGCAGAAAAACCCTGAGACTCTTATCTCCAATAAACCACTAGAAAACCAGAAGTGGTGGTATGGCTTAAGTGGTAGAGTGCTCTCCTTGAACTGAAGAGTGCAGGGACAGAGCCCAGGCCCAGAGTTCAAGCCCCATGACCAACCAAAAAACACCAAAAACCTCAAGCCAGGAGCTGGTAGTTCACTCCTATAATCCTAGCTACTCAGGAGGCTGAGATCTGAGGATCATGGTTAGAAGCCAGCCAGGGCAGGAAAGTCTTATTTCCAATAAAATACTCAGAAAAAGCCAGAAGTGGTGCTGTGGCTCAAGTGATAGAACACTAGCCTTGCACGCAAAGAGGCTCAGGGGTAGCACTCACTCTGAGTTTAAGCCCCAAGACTGGTCAAAAAAGAAAAAAAGGTACATCCAAACAATGTGCCTTCCATTAATACTCTAAAGGATGAAAATAGTTGGCCAGGCACCGGTGGCTCACACCTATAATTCTAGCTGTTCAGGAAGCTGAGATCTAAGAATTGAAGTTCAAAGCCAGAGTAGCAGAAAAGTCCCTGAGACTTCGATCTCAAGTTAACCAACAAAAAGCCAGAAGTGGAGTTGCGGCTCAAGTGGTAGAGCACTAGCCTTGAGTAAAAAAGCTAAAGAAGAGTACAAGGCCATGAGTTCAAGCCCTATTACCAGAACACACACACACACACACACACTGAAAATGGTTTCATAGTGTTAACTTGGAAAGCCATTAATCAGCAAATACTTCTTGCAGCGCAGACATTGGTCTTCACCTAATGAAGAGAAGGGATGATTGCTGATTTTGTAAAGCCCCTTAATATATATGTATTTGTCACTGGCCCATTATGAATTCTGTGTGCGGATGTCCCTTTCTCCTTTCTCAATAGGCACTTTGAAAGTAAATTCTATGAAAGTTCATTGTCCTATGTCACCATTCTCATGAAATCTGTGACGGTGAATATGGAAACCACACCCTCTGTGTATTCTCTCATTTCAAAGTTAGCTCAAGAACTTCAAGGTTGTGATTAAAGTTGGTGTGGAAAATCCAGATCCTCTTTCCCCCTGGCATATATATATATGTGTGTGTGTGTGTATATATATATAATTTTTTGGGGGGTCCGGTTGTGGGGTCTGAACTCTAAGCCTGGGCGCTGTCCCTCAGCTCTTCAGCTCAAGGCTAGCGCTCTACCACTTGAGCCACAGCACTACTTGCAGCTTTTTCTGCTTATTGTAGTGCTAAAGAATCAAACCCTGGGCTTCATGCATGCGAGGCAAGCACTCTACCACTGAGCCACCTTCCCAGCCCCTGACTAGCTGTATTTGAAGCATCCAGTAACCACTTACGACTGTTACCTACCATGTCGAACAGAGGAGACAGAAAACATTTTCATCACAGAAAGTTCCATCAGATAGGTTGTTCTAGGTAAAATACAGACACCACATCTTACTAGATGAGATTAGTTATTAGAAAAGTTCTTTAGTTGTCTTCATTATCTTTAATAAATGAAACAAATTCTAAGTAACACATGTACATTTAATCATGCCTAGCAAAGAAATCTTCAATTTGATACATGATTTCCCCTTTTAACTTCATTAGAGCACTTGTCTATAAGGGTCAGTATATTACTTTTTTTTTGGGGGGGGGAAGGGGGTCCGGTCGTGGGGCCTGAACTCTGGGCCTGGGCGCTGTCCCTCAGCTCTTCAGCTCAAGGCTAGCGCTCTACCACTTGAGCCACAGTGCCACTTCCGGCTTTTTTCTTTATGCTTATGTGGTGCTGAGGAATCAAACCCAGGGCCTCATGCATGCAAGGCAAACGCTCTACCACTGAGCCACCTTCCCAGCCCCAATATATTACTTTTTATATAAAACTATAACAAGAAGACATACAAGATAGTCTCCAAACGGTAGTGAAATTTTACTTTAAAAAGTAAAAGATCTGCTGGGCTCCAGTGGCTCACACCTGTAATCCTAACTACTTAGGAAGCTAGATCTGAGGGTCACGGTTCAAAGCCAGCCCAGGCAGGAAAGTCTGTAAGGCTATCATTTCCAATAAACCACTCAAAAAACTGGAAGTAGTGCTGTGGCTCAAATGGTAGAGTGCTAGCCTTGAGCTGAAGAGCTCATGGACAGTGCCCAAGGCCAGAGTTCAAGCCCCACAACCGACAGAAAAAAAAAAAAAAAAAAGATGCAAGCCAGGCACTGGTGGCTCATGTCTATAATACTGACCACTCAGCAGGCTGAGATCTGGAAGACCATGGTTCAAAGCCATGCCAAAGAATCCCTGAGACTCCTCCCATCTCCACAATGACCAGCAGAAAGCAGGGCTAGAAGCACGGCTCAAGTAGTAGAGCATTCACTCAGCAAGTTAACCCAGCTGAGTGAGCATGAGTTCTTGAGTTCAGTCCCCAGTAGTGTCACACACACCAAAAAAGATGCTTATTTCAAAATTGTGAAACTTCCCCAGAAGGATAAATTCAAGTAAACCGCCACAGCTGGGTGGTGTGAAGGGCGTCTGGTAAACCGTCACAGCTGGGTGGTGTGAAGGGCGTCTGGTAAACCGTCACAGCTGGGTAGTGTGAAGGGCGTCTCAGTTTGTCGGTGTTTGCCCTGTCCTTGCAGGAACATGATGACGTGTGCCTGGCGGGGGTGGCCCAGATGGCCATACGAATGGGGGACATCCGCAGAGGGGCCAACCAAGCCCTCAAGCACCCCAGCAGAGTCCTCAAAAGAGACTGTGGAGCCATACTGGAAAACATGAAGGTATCCTTTTCTCTGCATAAGTATCCACGTGGTCTCATGCACAGCAGCTTTAGGATTGTAATCAGCCTGTTCTATTTTTAGCAATTTTCAGAAGCAGCCCAACTCTACGAGAAAGGCCTGTACTATGACAAGGCTGCATCTGTTTACATCCGCTGTAAGAACTGGTAAGGGAGCAGGTCGTGTAGAAAGCAGTGTGTTGAGGGGGCTCCATTTATCTCTTTGCCCCTCTTCCTATCTGTCGGTTCTCTTCCCCCACCAGCACCTGTTTTCCTTCTTTCTTTTTACTGCTTAAATAAACTCATATAAATTACTATGAAAAACAAAACCCCTGTTGTTACAAAGAACTAATGACCTAACCTTCATCTTCCCACCTTGGGTTTGGAGGGCATCAGGGAGCCAAGATTTTTGAAATAGCATGATAACTGTTTTTTGAATCCTAAAAACTAGCATTTGCGGGGGAGAGGGAGGGTTGGTCAGATGTGGTAGCTCACACCTGTAATCCCACTATTTGGAAGGTAGAGATAGGATCCCAATGTGGGGCCAGCATAGAAAAAAAGTGATAGGTCTCACGTGGAAAAAACAAAAAAAAGCAAAAAACCTGGGCAAAAGAGGGCTGGAGGGATGGCTCAAAAGTGGTAGAGCTCTTGCCAAACAAATGCAAAGCCCTGAGTTCAAACTCCAGTACCACTAAAGAACTAACAGTGGTTTCAGCCTGCGGTTGTGGCAGCCCCTGAGCGGAACCGAGGTGCTGACGCCATCCTCCCTGAATCTCTTTCCAGGGCAAAAGTTGGTGAGCTCCTGCCTCACGTTTCCTCTCCAAAGATCCACTTGCAGTATGCCAAAGCTAAAGAAGCAGATGGAAGGTGTGTACCGTTGCTCCTGTTTATACAAATGTAAAATAATGTAAGTCATTGATACTTACAAGCCTGTAAGAATGGCCAAACGACACCTGACAGAAACGCGTCTCCCCTCCCCCGCCTTCCGCCGGCCTGCTGCACCACACAGCCCTCAGTTCTTCCTTTGTGCATTTCAATAGAGACTAGTGCCCCCTTTAATTTCAGACTAAAGATTAAAATCAAAATTCTGGTATTATATGACATGGATGGAGTTAAGTGGTCATCATTTTGTTAAGGAGATTAACCTGAAGATAGAGAGGAAAGAAAAGAATTGTGAACTTCATGCAGATGACAGCAATATTTAAGCCAGAAATCATGAAGAGTTAATACCCGTAATAGGAAAAGAAGCTAAAGACAAGAAGGCACAGCCCAGAGGAGGAAACACAGCTAAGAAACTGTATTACTTCTGTAAACTTGAAAAAAGCATCTACTTCACAAATAATAATCAGAGCATGCTATCATATCTGAAAAGATTCCTTTAAACTAATAACCAGACTGTCAGAATGCACTTGTTATCTGTGATTGATAGAAGGGTAAATTTCTAATATCATTGGAAAGTATCTAGTAAGAGATTTTAAAGGTTAGTAATATCCTCAAGCTTTGGAATAGCAGCCTTTGGAAATAGATGTGTACTAAATGTCATGTTGAAATAGAAAGAAATGAAGAGTTATCCAAACTGAAAAGAGTCCTGGGTGCCATCTAGAGTTGACATAAAGATTTTATAAATTCTGGATTTCCTATGTTTTCTAAACTAATCCTACATTGCTATAATATTTCCCTCACTTTGATCAAGGTAAAAAATAATTAGGTGTGGAGGTCCATGCCCATAATCCCAACACTTGGAAGTTGAGGAAGGAAAACCATACACTCAAGGTCAAGCCTGGGCCACTTGGTGAGACCCTAGCTCAAAAAGAAAATGAAAATAGAAATGACATGACGTCAGATGAGAAAATAAAATTCAATATTGATATTTTAGCATTCATTTATTTTTTTAAAAACCCACAAGAATTTATTTTGGTGAAGAGCTCCTGGGATTTTTTTGTTTTGTTTTTTACGGGGTTTTGAGTTTGTTTTTTTTGAAGAGAAGTTCAAAAAAACAAAACTTACTCATATGCCATTGACATTTTCCTTGTAAGTTGACGGGCTAGGAAGCTGATGGAGTGCAGTGTTTCTTTCAGGTACAAGGAAGCTGTGGTGGCGTATGAGAGTGCCAAGCAGTGGAACAGTGTGATCCGCATCTACCTGGACCACCTCAATAACCCCGAAAAGGCCGTCAGCATCGTCAGGGAGACCCAGTCTCTGGATGGAGCCAAGATGGTGGCCAGGTGACAGCTCACTTGTAGTTTTGAACTGCCAAACACTAACTTTAAAACAATCCCCCACTTCCTCTCCTCATCACATATATATAATCAATCAAAAGGAAGATTTAAGCCTGGCGCCAGTGGCTCACACCTGTAATCCCAGCTACTCAGGAGACTGAGATCTGAGGATTGCTGTTCAAAGCCAGCCCGGGCAGGAAAGTCCGTGAGACTCCTATCTCCAATAAACCACCTGAAAACTGGAAGCGGCGCTATGGCTCAATTGGTAGAGCACTGGCCTTGAGCCGAAGAGCTGAAGGACAGTGCCCAGGCCCAGAGTTCAAGCTCCATGACTGACTTAAAAAAAAAAAAAAAAGGAAGGAAGATTTATTCCTTTTGATTTTTTTTATAGGATCCAGCTGTTTTAATTTAGGCTGATTGTAGCAAGTTTATCAGAACCTGTTTGTCAAGTATAACAGTATCACCTACAGCTGAAATGTATACAACAGTTTGTAACTCCAAAACCATTTTTCTGGTTGAAAAAGTTTGTTTTATAAATCACAAAATTATTTGAAATAACAGTGGAGCTAATAAAAGCACTCTGTCTTAGGTTTTTCCTACAGCTGGGTGACTATGGGTCTGCTATCCAGTTTCTGGTCATGTCCAAATGTAACAATGAAGCTTTCACCCTGGCTCAGCAGCACAACAAAATGGAAATATATGCAGATATCATTGGTAAGTGGCATTGTTTTCCCTATAGTGTTTAACATCTTCTAAAGGTTTTTATCTCATGTGAACACTTGGACTCTTAGCACCTACTGATCAGATTGGTGTTCACAAAACCCTCTTGTGTGCCATTCATATAGAGACACACATAGAGATATTACTTGGTAGACTGCCTAATCCATAGGACTTAAAAATTAGCTACTATCATAGAAAAGGACTGTTATCAAAAATTAAAGTTTTTTGGATGAACTCCAAGAGAGGCTAGATTTCCCAAATCCAGTTATCACTCTGCTCAAATTATAAGAAATGCAGGATGCTTTCAGAAAATACAAATATTTCACAAATTAAAAAAAAATGAGATACAAATTAAGACCATATAGGGCCAGGTACTGGTAGCTCATGCCTGTAATCCTAGCTACTCAAGAGATCTGAGGATCACAGTCCAAAGCCAGTCCAGGCAGGAAAATCTCTGAGATTCTTTTCACCAATTAACCACCAGAAAACCAGAAGTGGAACTGTGGTTCAAAGTGATAGAGCCCTAATCTTGAGTAAAAGAGCTCAGGGACAGCACCTAGGCCTTGAGTTCAAGCCCCATGACTGACACACACACACAAAAAAAATACTATGTGGTTGTAGGGTATTGGTGGCTCACGCTTGTAGTCCTAACTACTCAGGAGGCTGAGATCTGAGGATCAGGTCTCAAAGCCAGCTTGGGCAGGAAAGGCCATGAGACTCTTATCTCCAATAAACTACTCAAAAAACCAGAAGTGGCACTGTGGCTCAAGTGGTAGAGCACTTACCTTGAGCTGAAGAGCTGAGGGATGGTGCCCAGGCCCAGAGTTCAAGCCCCATAATTGACCAAAACAAAAACAAAAAACTATGGTTAGTTTAAAGAAGTAATATATGGTTTTTAAAGATCTGTCATGTCCAAAAAAATTTATGTTCTGAGAATATCTTTCCATGTTTGCAATTATTCTTAGAAACTATTGAAGTAATTTTCAAATTTTGTTTTATAGACTATACAGGACATTATTTGTATTGTTTTTGCTTAATTTCTTGTTGTTTTATTTTTTTAATTTTAATTTATTGTAAATGCTATACAGGGAGATTATGTTATTGTTTTATTGTAGTAAAGCATGCATACATAAAACTTGCATTTATAATTGCTCATTTCTAGGGCTGGTCTAGCTCAGTGGTAGAGGACTTGCCTAGCACAGGTGAGGCTCTAGGTTCAATCCCCAGAAATGGAGGAGAAAAAAGATGCTTATTTCTGTTTCATTAAATACATTCACACTGTTGTGCAACCACTCACCCTGACCAGCTCAAGAACTTTTCCATCTTCCCATACTTAAAATATGCCCATTGATCAGTAACTCCCCACGCTCCTCTTCCCCCAGGGACCCTATTCTACTCCTGTCTGGATGTATTGTGTTCTCCATAGGACCTCTTGTAAGTTGTCCTCCTGGGTTATTTTGCTTTCTACAATTCACAAAATGCCCATTAGAATTGATAGGACCCATGAGAAATTGTTTTCAGTCTTCATTGGAACATTTGTTTCCCAACAAATTGGAGCTAAAGAAAAAGAAAGAAAGCAATACAGATAAAGCAACTTTAAAGCTAGATATGCTGGTGCAGGCTTATAATTCCAGCACTTGGACAGAGATGGTAGGACAATGCAAGGCCAGCCTGGACTATATAATGAGACTCTGTCTCACAAAACCAAGCACTGGGGATATAGCTCAATGGTACAGCTCTTGCCCAGTATACACAAGGCCCCACATTTGACCTCAGCACACACATAAAAAAAATTAGAATTATCAGATAACAGATAATATGTCTGCTTTAACATTACAAATTACAATTGCACTTCAATGATTTCGTGTGTAATGGTTTCCAGGCTGGTAAGGATATAGCATATCCTAGGTAAGAGATGCGTAGATATAGACAACCCCATCCACAAAACACACATCTGCTTCTCTCTACCTTGCTTTATGGCCACCTTTCTCTTAGAAACTCCAGGTCTGCCTGGACTAGAGGCATAGGGCTGTTATCACACTTCAGTATCCTACCAGGAGTAAAGGAAAACAATGCATTGGAACTCCAGCAGCTCCCTCTGTGTTTGGTATAGTCGAAAGGCCTAAACTAAAAGAAAGCAACAATAGAAGGTAATTCGCATCTGATGTCCACTTGAATGTCTTCTTCCCTATTTGCCAAACCAAATGTTCACACCAAGCATTGAGCCAGGTGTGATGGCACATGCCCATATTTCCAGCTACTAGAGAAGGTTGAGGAAAGAAGGTTATGAGGTCAAGGCCAGCCTGGGCTACAAGTGAAATCCTACCAATAGAAAACTAGACTAGATGGGGCAGAATAGAATGAAAAAAATAGAAAACCAATAGAAATTGAAGTAGACTAGAATATTGCTGGGGAAGAGAAATGGCTTCTGGTTGTGTTGGGACTGCGTTCTGAAGCTGACTAATTGTGGGAGTTCAGAGTAGTCCTGTTGTTTCAAGAAAAAGATTTGGATAGAGAGAATGATAAAGTCTTGGAAGGCAATAGCACACCAGAACTAGATTCTCCAAAGATCTTATTTCCTGTCCTGACTGCTGCTGAGGGTGAAAAGATGGAGCAGAGTTACTACTTGGAGTAATCGTAATGAAGGTGTTTTGTGATGAAATCAGAGACGGATAGTAGCATTGATGTCTGCTCTTAAAATGTATACATTACTCCTTTTAAATCTTTTTAGATTAGCAATCCAAGGTAAATAAGTTCTGCCTAGATACTCAACAAACTTCTTTTGTAGGTTCTGAAGACACAACTAATGAAGACTACCAAAGCATTGCCTTATACTTCGAAGGGGAAAAAAAACATCTCCAGGCTGGAAAATTCTTCCTGCTATGTGGCCAATATTCACGAGTTAGTATTTGCTTAAAAAAAAAAAAGGCTGGGAGTCGGTGGCTCACGCCTGTAATTCCAGATACTCAGGAGGTTGAGATCTGAGGATCTCGGTTCAAAGCCAGCTCAGGCAGGAAAGTCCGTGAGACTCTAATCTCCAATCAACCATCAGAAAAACTGCAAGTGGCGCTGTGGCTCAAGTGGTAGAGTACTCGCCTTGAGCTGAAGAGCTGAGGGACAGCACCCAAGCCCAGAGTTCAAGCCCCACAACAACAACAACAAAAAAAAAATACCCTTGCCAGACGCTGATGGTTCATGCCAATACATCTTAGCTACTCAGGAGTTTGAGATCTGAGGATTGCAGTTCAAAGCTAGTCTAGGCAAGAAAGTCTGTGAGACTCTTATCTCCAGTACATTATCAAAATATCTGGAAGTAGAGCTGTGGCTCAAGTGGAAGAGTACTATCTTTGAGAAAAAGTAGCTCAAGAACAGTGCCCAGACCCTGAGTTCAAGCCCCAGAACTAGCAAAAAGAAAAGGAAAAAACAAAGCAAAACACCTGAGAGTCCACAGAAGTAATCAGAGGAAGTATTATTAGATTCTAGAATGCTCCCACACACCCCAGATTTGAAATCTTTGTTGGGAGTACTGGGAGTCAAAACCAGGACTCTGGCATACTTAGCACATGCTCTTCTACTGAGCTACACCCCCTGTCATCTTCTTTCCTAAAATCTCTGTCCCTTTCATTCTACCAAACATCCACTCAGCCCATCCCAGGTGACCTTGCTTTTAACTAATGCAGCAGTTTCCTGTTTCCCCTGTGTTTAGTTTCTCTGCCTGAAATCATTCATCATTTTGTTTCCCAAATAGAACTTGTGTTGCTTAAGGCAGGGACATGTATAAACGATGTAGCTGTGCCTTGCCTGTGTGGCGGGGAAGGGACTGGAGGTTGTACAGGCTTTGCTTAAAGTGGACAACTCCTATTCAGTCTGAAAAATTATCACGATACACAGTTCTGGGCCTTGGGCCAAGATCATGATGTTTTAAGACAAACAAAAGTCTGGGTCTCCTCATTTTTTAAATATTGGCCCAGGTATAATTAATACCACATTGGGTAAAGAAAAACATATTTATGTATGGACCCAACCTACAGGCTGCCAATGCGTTGTTTCTCTCTTCTTAGAAAAAAAGTTGAGTCTTGGCTGACTCTCACCACTTAATCAGCTAGCCTGAGCTTCCCAGCCACAGCCCGCTGTGTCTGGCAGCATCCTACACTAGACTCTTACAGTGAGGCCTACACTGGCCTCGTCCTCCGTCTTCTGCCAACTGCCTTCACTGTCTAACAGAGCTTCCCATCCTGTAGGGTTTTGCTATGTGTCACCCCAATCCACAGCCATCTTTGCTGCCTCAAAGCAAAACCAACTGTTTACGACACTCATTTGTCTGTTAAACTGTTTAATTTCTCCACAGGTGGGATGTTCAGGAATTGCTTAAAATAAGTGACTTGTTATTAGCATCCCATAACACAGATCTCTCCAGTTAGACTGTACCTAACTCAGACATATCATACCCCTCCTGACATTCTTAGCAGGCTATGGGACAGACCCACGTGCATAATCTTTTGTCAATGAATAGTTGAAAGAATGAATGAAAATCATCTTCCTATTGCCAAATATGTTGGCTCAGGCCTGTAATCCCAGCACTGAGGAGCCCAGCCTAGGCTACATAGCAAAACCCTGTCTCAAAAGCTTCCTGCGGAATGAAGGCACATTTTTACATTTCCATTTCCTCAGTAATCAGATCTAAACTTCAGAAGGTTAATTGGACTCTTCCATTTTTTTTTTCAAAACAAGGCCCAGCCTTTGAAATATGTGGTTAAGACTCCACATTGTGCAAGCCTCCAGTTAAGATGAACATATTTTGGCAAACTATAATTTGTGAAAAGCACTCTAATTTGTGTGAAAGCTTTGTTTATCTCAGTGTGAACACACTGAAAATTTTTTCATTGTTATATATTTCTCCTGTAGGCACTTAAACACTTCCTGAAGTGCTCAAACTCAGAAGATAATGTGGCAATAGAAATGGCAATTGAAACTGTAAGTAAACTCTAACGCAACTTTCAAGACTACCAATATTTTTTTAAGTTTTTGAGGAAATTTCTGAGTATATGCAAAAGTAGACCAACCAACGCAACAGTCTCACGAACTTCTGACCTCTAGAATCTGCTCAGCCCTACTTTTGTCACATCGTACCTTCCTTTATTTGGGATTATTTTAAAGCAAATCAGACATCACTTCCTTTCCCCAAGTATCTATATCTAAATGATAAAAAAAAAAAACCACCTGCAACTATTCATTTAGGTGTAACTTGCAATTAGTACAGTTCACAATTCACAGGGCCTAGTCTCACAACTGAGTTAATGTCTTCATACATGCACTTGTGTAACCCTGACCTATCAAGCTCGCTTTGTCCCGTCTCCCCTAGTCAGCTCCCCTGCCAAGCTAACCACAGTCCTGACTCCTCCTCATTGTGTGGTTTCGCTGAACCTCAAAGCACCAGAACCATGCATACAGGCCTTTGCTGTCTGCTTTCTTTCTGTCAACATTGTGTCTGGAAATGAATGGGTCTCGTCATGTTGCATGTGGCGGTGGTCCATTCTTACTCATTGCTGGGGAGAATTCTATAAAACTATACAATGATTTATTTACCCGGCACTCTATTAATTGGCATTTGGGTCAGTTCTGGCTTGGACATATCACGTCTTTTGCTGGAATAAGCACTCAGCTTTACTGGGTATATAAACAGAATTTAAATTATTAGGTCATAGGTATACATATTTTTAGCAGTAAATAGTAGATACTACCGAGCATTCTTTCCAGACATCTTGGTTGCTGCACATTTTTACCAATACCTGTTAACTCTTCTAGTGGATGCATAGCAATACAGTACAGTATCCCATTCACTTTTATTGATATTGAGCAGCTTTGCACGTGTCTATTGGCCACTTGAATTTCCTCTTCTGTCAAGTGCTATGTAAAGTCTTTTTTTCCAGTTTAGAATTGTACCATCTCGTTCTTACCAATTTGTATGATTTTCACACATAGTAAGGAATGAAGTCTTTTTGTCAGATAGATGATTGTGAAACCTCTTGAGCTGCGTGCCTTCTGAGGTCTGAAAGTGTCTTGATGAACAGAATTCTTACATTTTAAAAAAGTCTAATTTGTTAGTGCTTATTAGTCCAAATTAAGAATGCTTTGTCTATCTTATAGGGAAGACATTTCCTCTGTGTTTTCTATACAAATTTGATTGTTTTGGCTTTTTTATTTAGGTTTATGCCCCCTTTTGTGTATGGCATACAATCGAGATCAAGAATCTCTTTTTTTTTTTTTTAGCTATGTCAGTTGTGGGGCTTGAACTCCTTGAGCCTTTCTGCTCAAGGATAGCTCTGGACACTAGGTCAAAACCTAGTTGACCTAGTGCCACTTATGAAAATGTCATCTTCACTGGGCGCTGGTGGCTCACGCCTATAATTCTAGCTACTCAAAAGGCTGAGGATGATTCTAGTTCAAAGCCAGCCCAAGCAGGAAAGTCCATGAAACTGTTACCTTCAATTAACCACTAGGAAACCAAAAATCCAAAATCCAAAAGTGGAGCTGTGGCTCCAAGTGGTAGAGTGCTAGCCTTCAGCAAAAGAGCTCAGGCATCCAGGGCTGGAGTTTAAGCCCTGTGACTGACAAAACAAAAAGGGCAATAAAATGTCATCTTCTCCCCACTGAAGTGCCATGGAATATTTGTCATAGATGAAATGACCAAACATATGTGTGTGTGTTTTCTTTAGTTTCTTCTCTTTGTTTAGTTATATGTCCTTACCCCCCCTCTTGTTATATATTATATATAGTATATATAGTATGTATGTATATGTGCTATATATATTATGTAGTATATTATATAATCATCTTCCTTTTTTGGGGGGGGATCCGGTCGTGGGGCCTGAGCTCTGGGTCTGGGCGCTGTCCCTGAGCTCTTCAGCTCAAGGCTAGCACTCTACCACTTGAGCCACAGCGCCACTTCCAGCTTTTTTCTTTTTGCTTATGTGGTGCTAAGGAATCAAACCCAGAGCCTCATGTATGCAAGGCAAGCGCTCTACCACTGAGCCACCTTTCCAGCCTCATCTTCCTATCTCTATGAAATACCTTATTGTTGGTGATGGTGGTAATCGTGGGGTTTGAACTCAGGGCCTCGGTACTGTCCCTCAAGGCTGACACTGCCACTTTTGAGCCCCAGTGCCACTTTTGGTTTTTCTTTTTTTTGGATATGAGTCTTAGGAACTTTCCTGCCTAGGCTGGCTTTGAACTTCAATCCTCAGATCTCAGCTTCCTGAGTAGTTAGGATTATAGGTACCCAGCTTCTGTGAGATACTTTTACGTACAGTTCATCCCTTTTCCTCAGCAGCTTCTCTTTTCTCTTCTTGCATAAGTTTATAACAGTGAAATCGCTGGGGTTTTTCTCTTATGGAACAGGTTGGCCAGGCCAAGGATGAACTGCTGACCAACCAGCTGATCGACCATCTGATGGGCGAGAGTGACGGCATGCCTAAGGTACAGGAGGCTCTGCTTTGCAGGCTGCTGATTTGTGGCTTTACTTTATTCAGCCCTGTTCTCACCTGCGAACTCATCCCTCTGAAAATGGCCACCAGTCCTGCAGACCATCCCTGCATTTTAGAGGCCATTACATGTGTTCACTCATTAGAGTTGGCATCCACCTGTGAAAGAGCCAGATCCTCACCCCTACCAAACACTCCTCACCACCCAGGCTTCCTTAAATATTAGTTTGGTTTATTCTGGGAAAATGATCATTGAAACTATGACTTCACATTAGGAAAAGGGTTGTGTTTTTGTTTTTTGTTTTTGTCAGTCGTGGGGCTTGAACTCAGGGCCTGAGCATTGTCTCTGAGCTCTTTTGCTCAAAGTCAGTGCTCTACCACCTGGAGCCATAGGGCCACCTCCAGTTTTCTGGTGGTTAATTAGAGATCAGAGTCTCACAGACTTTCTTGCCCAGGCTGTCTTTGAACCACGAGCATCTGGATTAGAATACATTTTATTTCCAAACAAACGAGAAACAGGTCAGGCACAGACCCTGAACCCAGATAAGGGTGCCCTGGATCCTAGCTCTGCCCTTCTGCTTTGTTTCGAAGTTAGGGTGCTAGCCAGGCCTCCTCGGGTGCCCTGAGCACGAACTGAGTTAGCATTTCCTACCTTCTTACACTTCTAATGGCACTAGCCTCTTCACACTCAGCCAACTGCCACCTAATCAATCCTCAGTTACTGGCAGACGACCACTATTCTAACTGAAATGGCGAAGTACAGGTTTTTCTCCCCTTGACTGATGAAGAAATTGAAGTTTCTCTAATGGCTTGCGTGGCAGGATGCCAAGTACCTGTTCCGTCTGTACATGGCACTAAAACAATACCGAGAAGCTGCCCGGACTGCCATCATCATCGCCAGAGAAGAACAGTCTGCAGGTAGGTTCCTTGGTTTTGTTGGGTTTTGTGGTATTGGAATTAAACTCAGCCTCACGCAGGCTAGGCCAGCACTGGCTCTCTGAGCTACATCTCCAGGTCTGGGTCCCTAATATATTTTAATAGCCAGATAGTAGAATCAGGCTCTACCTCTTTCCTACCCTCGCCAGGAAAACGTAGCAAGTTTCCAGTCTAAGGCTAAGGAGAAGGCCACTACTAGAATTCAGGGACCTGGATGACTGGATGAAGGCCTCCTCTCCGGAACCTCACAGTCTCGATCTCTGGGTCAGTGACCTCTGACCTTTCCAGTCCTCAGCCCCTCCTACAGACACACAGCACTTCTTTCCAGTCCATGCATTAGCATTATCCATCTGTGACGTGTTGCTAAGTAGAAGATCATTATGTCGTATTATTATGGATCTGGCCTTTAGTGTGCTTTTATTTATTTGTGTTTCTTCTGGCAGTACCTGGATTGAACTCTAAGCCTCTTGCTTGCTAGACAGGCGCTCTATCACTTGAGTCATGCCTCCAACCCCTGTATACCTTGGTTATTTTCAAGTTAAGATTCTCACTTTATGTCCAGGCCAGCCTGAGCTGTGGATCCTCCTACTTGTGCTTCCTGCTGTTGCTGGAGGAGAAGGAAGACTCATGGCGCAGTGCCCAGCCTTTTCTCCCCCTGTAGCTGGCTGACAGGAGCATGCCAGCACACCCAGCCACTGGCTGAGATGAAATGTTGGCACTTTTCTGCCCAGGCTGGCGTCACACTGCAGTCCTCCAGTCTCTACCCCCCAAGTAGCAAGGATTACAGGTGTGAGCCACCACACCCAGCTCAGATCTGGCTCTTTATAGAGCCACGTACAGAATCTCTAAGTGGTTCTGTTCATTCATATGCTCCATAAATACTTGTAGATTAGGCCAGAGAATTAGTTTATCTTCCAGTTGTTGCAAATCAGATCTTTTTGATGTTCATAAATATGGAACACAGTTTTAGGAACTATGTAACTGGGCGCCAGTGGCTCATGCCTGTAATCCTAGCTACTCAGGAGGCAGTTCTAAGGATCTAAGGATCAAGGTTCGAAGCCAGTCCTGGCAGGAAAGTCCATGATACTTTTTTTTTCTGCCAGTCCTATGGCTTGAACTCAGGGCCTTGGCGCTGTCCCTGACCCTCTATGTGCTCAAAGCTAGTGCTTCACCACTTAAGGTAGCACTCTACCACTTGAGCCACAGTGCCACTTCTGGCTTTTTCTGTGTATGTTAGTACTGAGAATTCAAACCCAGGGCTTCATGCATGCTAGGCAAGCACCCTACCACAGAGCCACATTCCCAACCCCCATGAGACTCTTACTTCCAGTTAACCACAAAAAAACGGAAGTGGTGCTGTGGCTCAAAGTAGTAAGAGTGCTAGCCTTGAGCAAAAAAGCTCAGGGACAGCATCCAGGCCCTGAGTTTGAGCCCCACTACTGACACCAAAAAAGAAAGAAAAAGAAAGAAAGGAAGGAAGGAAGGAAGGAAGGAAGGAAGGAAGGAAGGAAGGAAGGAAGGAAGGAAATATGTAACTAAAATGCAACAGTGGTATTCACTATGTTGAAAACAAACTATACAACTTGTATATGGGGATGAGAGAGAAAAAACTGGGAGAGAGTGAGGGAAGAAGTGTACTTTTTTTTTGTTTTTTGCCAGTCTTGGGGCTTGAACTTAGGAGCTGGGCACTGTCCCTCTCTGTGCTCAGGCTAGTGCTTTACCACTTGAGCCACAGCGCCACTTCTGGCTTTTTTGAGTATTTTCTTGGAGATAAGAGTCTCACAGGGACTTTTCTGCCTGGGCTGGCTTCAAACGGTGATCCTCAGATCTCAGCCTCCTGAGTAGCTAGGATTACAGGCATGAGCCACCATGCCCAGCAAGAAATGTACTCTTTATCTGACTATGTAACTATAGCCCCCCTGTACATCACCTTTATAATAACAATAAGAATTTTAAAAAGAAAGTACATAGCGAAATAAGTCATAACTTGATTCCGCTCATGTTGCTCTGACACCTACGGTCTGTCAGATGAGTGCTAGATGCTCAGCCGTCAGAGAGAAGGCCAGTTCTACCCTCCAGCTCGCCATTAGATGGGAGAGACTGAAAGCAGGTTCAGAGTTGTTCTCTGCGGTGACAAGTGCTAGACTAGGGAGAGAAATGTGATAATATCATTAAAGGTGACAGGATCAACACCCCCACCCCCACCCCTCAGCCCCACATCCTGAAGGCAGGGGACAGAGAGTGCTGGGGAATGGAGAGAGAAATCCACAAAACCTCCAGCTGAGTTCAAAGGCCCAGACAGCCATCCATGAAGAAAATGCTCCCTGCCTGGGGAGGCATGGATGGGCCAGAAAGGGAACGGGCTTTTGTTTTTGCAGTGCTGGGAATTGAACCCAGAGCCTCTGCAGCTGCTCTACCACTGTGTCCTTAGAGGGCTTCCTACAAGGTGTGTGCCCTTGAGCTTGAGATGCGGCCTGAGGTTTTGCGGCAACTACTATCCAAACACAGCTCCAGAGGAACTGACCAGCCCAGGGCGGTGGGAATAACGGGCATCAACACTAGGCCTGAGCTGCCAGGCCCGTGCTCACGCCTGCAATCTTAGCTCCTCTAACGGCTGAAATCTAAAGACTGGGAGTTGAAACCCACCATACAAGAAAGCCTTGAGTAAAAAATCTCAGGGGCAGTGCCCAGCCCGAGTCCAAGCTCTAGTGCCAGGAAAAAACAGAAAACCAGCAGTGGGCCTGAGCAAGAGTTAGAACTGGAAGGATCGGGGGAGGGAGGGGGCAGGAGGAATCCCCTGAGAAACAGTATGAAAGCTAGAAAGACACAACTTTTCCCCAGAGGAACTGACCAGTTTGGGGTTTTTTTGGGAGGTGGGAAGGGCGCAGTATTGTTTTTCATTTTTTTATCCATTGTGGGGCTTAAATTCTGGGCCTGGGCGCTGTCCCTCAGCTCTTCAGGTCAAAGCTAGCACTACCACTTGAGCCATATTGCCACTTCCGCCCCTTTTTTTGTTGTATATGGTGCTGAGGAATCAAACCCAAGGCCTCATGCATGGGAGGCAAGCACTCTACCACTGAGCCACCTTCCCAGCCCGTGGTTTTTTTGTTGGTTGTGGGGCTTGAACTCTGGGCCTGGGTGCTGTCCCTCAACTCTTCAGCTCAAGACTAGCCCTCTACCACTTGAGCCACAGCGCCACTTCCAGTTTTCTGGTGGTTTATTGGAGATAAGAATCTCATGGACAAGCCGGGCGCTGGTGGCTCATGTCTGTAATCCTAGCTACTCAGGAGGCTGAGATCTGAGGATTACGGTTCAAAGCCAGCCCGGGCAGGAGAGACTGTGAGACTCCTATCTCCAATAAACCACCAGAAAACCGGAAGTGGCGCTGTAGCTCAAGTGGTAGAGCGCTCGCCTTGAGAAGAGCTGAGGGACAGCGCCCAGGCCCAGAGTTCAAGCCCACGACGGACAAAAAAAAAAAAAGAATCTCATGGACTTTCCTTCCTGGGCTGGCATTGAACCATGATCCTCAGATCTCAGCCTCCTGAGTAGCTAGGATTACAGGCATGAGCCACCGGTGCCCAGCTAGGAACTGACCAGTTTAAGCATCAGCCATTAAAACAGGCAAAACTGCTGAGTGACTGTGTAGAAGAAATGGCTATCACAGATCACATAATGAATAAATTCACTTATAAAGGGCCAAAAAAGCCCTCTAGTATCCTCCTTGACAGCAATGTGATCTCCCACCTCTCTTGAAGGAAACTATCGGAATGCCCATGACGTTCTTTTCAGCATGTACGCAGAACTGAAATCCCAGAAGATCAAAATCCCCTCTGAGATGGCCACCAACCTCATGATCCTGCACAGCTACGTGCTTGTGAAGGTGAGGCCCCGAGGGGCGGGGCACGGGCTGCCAGGACTTCCCACCCCGTGGCATTTCCTCCGGCCACTGCTTCATGGAGGAGAGCACTGTCCTAGGTCTATTGTTCAGGGTTAAAAGCAATAACAGGCTGACTGTAATGTGCTGCCCTTTGTGTATAAAGAGGAAAAAGGAATGCATAGCTACTGTTGCAAACAGAATGAGAAAGACAGACTGAAAAGACCAGAAATGGTTTCCTAAAGGAAAGAGAGGCCGGCTACCAACGGCTGAACACACAGAGCGGAGGACAGCAGACAGCGGACTGGCCCTGCTCATGTGACCTCCTGAGTGACTCCCCCTTTCGCATGGCTTTCGCATCTTACCACAACTTGATAAAGTTGCTGATGATCCCCCAGGAACAGCCAGGAGGAGATGAGCCAGGATTTGAATTCATGCCAGGTGTTCTAGGGCAGAGAACAGTGTGCGATTCGGGCCAGAGTGCCAGGGAGCAGCTGGTGGAGGAGACAGCCCGGAGAGCTCAGCCAGCACAGGCTCAGGGCCCCAGGTCGGCCCTGTTCTAGACCCCAGTCAAGGCGTTCGGGGGGAATAAAGCAGAAACCAGGGCTAATGTAAGACTGTAAGTATAACTTGTTTTCACTTCAGATTCACGTGAAGAATGGAGATCACCTGAAGGGGGCACGCATGCTCATTCGCGTGGCCAACAACATTAGCAAATTCCCTTCACGTGAGTACTCTGGGCCAGTGCAGGCCCCACGCTCCCAGCTCCACCTGGTAACTCAGCCCACACCAACCCTACGACACAGTGCGGCCTGCTCTCCAGGACCACCTCAGCCTCTCTGACTCTTGTGCATGTTTTCCAGAAAATAGTTTCCTAGAGAAAACCAGGCCCAGGCAAAAGCTATTGGATGCCCTTCCTGTGTCTCCCACAGAATACAGACCAGTGGTCCCCAGTGTGTGCGAACTAGAGCCAGGGCTGTACTGGTCACAGAGCTCTCTGCCATCTGCACGTTCCCAGCACTCAGGTATCCAACAGAAAGCACACTGAGGAGATGTGGGGCACACTGCGTCCCTTGTCAGTTGGGGAAACTGGTGGGAGCTCTCCCCAAATCCAAGGTTCCCAAGTACAGGCCAGAGGCCCAGCACTCAGGCAGATCTTTCTAAGGTAGCTGTGCTGAGCTGATGTGCAAGGGAACTTTTCTGCCTAGTTCGTTACATTAGTGTACTTGCATTTAACCACCATCAGCCCACGTGGTCAGTTGTTAAGTCTGATTCTGTTTTCAACCACAGTCAGACACCTCCCCTAAGAAAGATCTCATTGTTCTCACCATTATTCTAAAAGATCTGTCACACACACAAAAAGAGTTTGGCTTGTTTTTGGTGGTTTTTTTGGACAGTTAACCGGGGTTTGAACTCAGGACCCTACTTGCTGGCTTCTTGCTTGCTCACATAGCATTCTACCACTTGAGCCCTGCCTGAAGTCCAGCCTTCTGATGTTTAGAGATGAAGTCTTGCTGACTTTTCGGTCCAGACTGGCTTCAAAACATGATCCTCCTAGTCTCAGCCTCCTAAGTAGCTAGTATTACAGATATGAGCTAGTAGAACCTGGCATAAAATTTTTAAGTGAATAGATTTAATGTGACAGGTATGAGCAACCCTTTTCTATAATAGGCCAGATGTTCTTTGTACTATTACGCTAATAAAAGTTAGAATTTAATTAGTAGCTTTTTTTTTTTTTGGCTCGTGGGGCCTGTACTCTGGGCCTGGGCACTGTCTCTCAGCTCTTCAGCTCAAAGCTAGCACTCTACCACTTGAGCCACAGCGCCACTTCTGGCTTTTTTCTTTTTGATTATGTGGTGCTGAGGAATCGAACCCAGGGCCTCATGCATGCAAGGCAAGCGCTTTACCACTGAGCCACCTTCCCAGCCCCCAGCTTTTTTCTGTGTATGTGGTGCTGAGGAATGGAACCCAGGGCCTCCTGCATGCGAGGCAAGCACTCTACCACTGAGCCACCTTCCCAGCCTAGCCCATCCTTCTTTTTTTTTTTTTAATTGTGAAAATACTGTACAGAGGGGTTACAATTACATGGGCAAGATAATGAGTACATTTCTTATCAAGCATTGTTGCCTCCTCCTTTGTTTCCCCTTCC